GTCGCGGTCAAAATAATCCCGCCATGAAGGGGTTAAGCAGCGATATGAAACTTGGTTCTGTTATGAGGAAGGTAAGCTGTCTGTCTTAGTATACAAAAGCATAATATGAGTGTTAACTCAATACAAATCAACTCCCAACTTTTGACTTCAAGAAATCTAGAAAATTTTCGAATAGTTAGATGAGGGAAGGTTATTCTCAGTTGTGAGTGGTCGAAATCTTACCTGCGTTTGCTCTCAACTACAACAGCATTTCCACCGCTGGTTCCCAACACACCAGATAAGCGTGGTCCAGAACTGGGTCCTTTAAACTTACTGTATCTAACAAAAAAAGTGGGTGATTGTCATAAAAATAATGAATTCAGGTGACAACCATCACGGTAAATCCATAACAAGTCTTTTCACAAGTCCAGTTATGAGTAACAAGCCAAACGATAACAAAAGAATGCTTTTTTAGGACTGAGCCGAACATCAAAATCGATTTACTCGAACATGAAAATGAAAGAAATGAAATTGTTATGAAATTTCATTGTTTGGTAACAAAGCTGCATTCCAAAAGCATATTTCAAAAATGTTTCCAGAAATATTCCTAATAAGGCCCAAAATTACTTCCCTTCAAACTTGTCTTTTTTAAAACTTCTTGTGGGGTGTGATCAGTGGGACTAAGGGAATAAATCAACAATTAGAACCAAACACCAATGAGGCGCCAAGCTCCATCCTTTAACTGGGGACCAGACAACTTTCCTGTAAGTCAGCAAGGCAGACCACCACATAAACATGCAGGTTTTGTTTCTGGGTTTGAGCAGGTATTACGTAATAACGATTATTCAAATATTTGATCACATTTAAATATTCAATTATTTGAACTGTCTGAATTTCTGTCATGTTTATTTGATTCTTTATGACGGCATGGCTTTTAGGACTTGAGGGTGGACTCAACAACAGCCCTGACAACAACACCTGCTCCAAATGCATAGTTATATCACATGATTTCATTATCATATATTTATGTTTGTGTCATGATTGTGGCCACAATCATAAATTCAAATTACAATTGGTTGCCCTTTTCTCCTGACTGCCCAGGGCCACTGAGGTCGACATCGGCGAGTGACGAACTGTCATCTTCTTCTGACTGGAACCCAATGACAGCAGGCTTGAGTTTGGTGAGGTCTGACTCCAGATTACCATGGTGACTAAGCAGCGGTGTCTTCTCACTGGTTGAGGCCATTATTTAGCCTCTGTTCAACAATATTACAGAGAGCTCACATCCAGGTCATGTTCTCAGCACCTCTAGAGTAAAATATAAGCATGGCTGGATTAGGATAATGATTATTATGTAATAATTGGCGGATCTAAAGTTGGACTCATGCACTTCCCTCCGGTGTGCCTTTGATTTTTTCATGGGAACAGACGAACTCATAAACACAGAGGAGTACTTGTCCGGGAAATGGCGGGGTTACACCAGCCAATGAAAAGGATAGTTCATGTGAACATGCCGTTTCATTGGTGACTGCACCGGCACTTAGCCTGGTGACTCAGAACTATTCACCTTAAAGAGGAAAGATCTGGAAACAAGTTGAGAAAATGTTTGCTCCTCGATATTCACACCTGGCATTCCAAAATTACCCTACTAGGTCAGAATTCCATTTTGTGAATATGACTTTGCAACAATATGGGCCTAAGCACAGAACTTAAAGATTTGTCAGGTGTCCCAAAGAGACGCTTACTGCAAACTGTCAAAGAGATGCTGATAAATTAACAAACAGAAATTGTGGATCAGTTCATGGCCCGCCCCCTTTACCAATCAACTGTAGGCCTAAGCACATTATTATTATTATTGATGTTACTGTCAAACAGGAGTGCCTGTTTAGTGTTGGGGCTGTGTAGGCTGGGCCTACAGAGGCTACGCATGAGTTTACTTTTTCTAGGGCCAGGGGAGATTCAGAAACGAAAGAAGGTTCAGTAAGTTCAACAAGCATGAGTAGGGTTGTTGGCATCTATGGCACTCAAGAATTGCGATGATTCAAAACATAATTCGTTTATTCCATGGCATTCACTACCATCCATCAGGACCCTGTTCTTAATATAATAAGGGAAAAAAAGTCCACCTTAAGGATCCGTTCCTTAATCCTAGTAGCTCTCGTTTAGGTAAATTTTGACAATATTTAAGACAGAAAACCAGAATTGTTTACCTGAGTTTGGCGAAGATGACAGCATTACGCAATTTTGTTTCACATCTTGTTACCTGACCCAGCCATTGTGGATATAGGCCCCCTACTGAATTTTATAAAAGAAACTGTTATGGTTCCAGGTAAAGGAACCAAACTACATGCGCTGATTCATCTTCGTTCGCAGCTCTTCGTCGCATCATTTACACTGCTGTTTTACCCCATAATATCCCTCAAAAACCAAAGCCTTTCCCTCTTTTCTTGCTGATATGAAAGAAAACATCACCACCAACTTATTTTAATACTTAGGTGAGTTGTTTCGAAAAGGTAGACTTTGTTTCTTTTATTAATATGAACAGGGTGCAAATGGTATTAATGAACACCCATTTCACAAGAACTAGACCCTATTCTGAGAATTTATAAATGTTGTCAATGCCTACACCTCAGAACTGACGAATTCGTCATCCACTGCGCTCCAAAGTTATGGGGGGTTGGGCCTTGTCAATGTCATTATTTTCACGAAACGCATTCAACACAAAAGAGCCTACGCCTACCCTCATGGTTTAACGTTTAGCCTGAAAAGAACATTCAGCACAATCATACAATGAATATAAACCATACAAAATCAATTAGAATGTTCTTTTACCAATATGGGCAAGTCAGGAGTGAGATATTTGGGATAAATATTGGAAAATAAAATGGCAACGAACTGACGAAACTTACATGCGAACTGCATATTTAGATATCCGTCGTGAGATTCCACACCGTACAGCTGGCATGGCAGATTAAATGGTAGACTGGTTACCAGTCAATCCATCAGACTGTCGAGTTGCCCCGAGTCGAGTTGGAAAACGGTCGAGTTGTCTGCAGAACTCCCCAATTGGTAACTTTTTAGTTTACAATAAAAAATTAATCAGCTGAGGAAGTAAAACCTACTATATTTCAGTTTCTGTGTCGGTTTATTTTTTAAGGAAATAGGAGGCGAAAATGTCGCTTTTCCTTTTCCCGTCACTTTTCGTGTTCACTTTCGTGAATGCAAAATAATGACACTTTGTGCAAATGTTTCAAATTTTAATCAGTCAGTCACTGTTTTTCTTTTCTAGTTATGTAATCCTTGTTATTGATAAGATCCCGGCCCAGTGCTGATGGGGGGGGGGTCATCAGCGCACGCTCAGCATCACTATATGAGTATTTAATTTTTCATCCTAAAATAACAATAGCCCAATGGGTAACCTCTGCCGCTGGGACTGTCGGCTAAGTACAGGTGATTTACATGTATCTGCATACGGGTTCCAAATACCTGAATAACGGCCCGAGGCCAAGGCTTTGGGGCTTACATAATGGTGATCGCCCCTTTCGGGTCGGAGGCACGGAAGGAAATGTAGTGTGCCAGGAAGTTGAACCCCGAGATCCCAGAAGAGTTCTATAAATTATGAAAGTTAGTGTAGCCTATCATACTGCGATTCATTTGTGGCGTCTCATGCTGCAAAATTTGCAAATTTGAACACTTTCAACTCAAACTTTCCTTCCTCCATGAACGTTTCAAATCGAAAGTTCCGCTGGAGTGCCACGCGTTTCTTGCCTAGTCAAACTCGATCCTTTTTGCCAGAAGTACGAACTTCTCTAATCCAAGAATATCGGAGTTCCCAGTTATGCTTCTAGTGTGATGAGGTCTTGAAGGTGGTGTACATGTATGTATTCTACCACGACGTAGGCCAACTGATTTGCCAAGTGAGACCATGGAGAAAGTGTTTTATTTCTCCATGGTGAGACCTACTACATGCTCAGGTCACAGGAATTAGGGCTCATCGTAAGAAATGCACTCGAATGTGAGTGCTCGCTAATCTAGTTGTTAGTGCACCATTGATCAGTGGTCTGTGCTCGAATGTATATCGGCCTATGTGTGAGCTACATTTCCCCGTCTGATCGGTGCTATTGTGGTGTACAAAAGGTCGTCAGAATCGAGTGTTTACAAAGGACTGGGCGACAAAGGAACTCCATTTTTGGACCCACAGCGTGCCGAGCTACGCATAACAACCGTCGCCCCAGCCAGTTGACACCGTCGAGACTGATATTCGTTTGCTTTGCACCGTCGAGGTGAAACACGAAGTCAAAGATCTGCAGCGGGCTTCAGGTTCTCGTCGATTGCTACATTGCTGAAGCGAGTGATGACCAAGTCGACCACGTCATATTTCAGGGAGTTTTGACAACCATTGCAATCCGATTACTGGATGGTGTTGGTGTGAATTCCCACGGTGTTGGCCTATGCGCTGCACGCAGGTGCACGTTAGAAATCGCGATCGCCAACACGCGATCCTTGCCCACGTTCACATGGATTGAACCAGTTGGATGGACTAGGAATGGAAGTGCCATAGTATTTTAGTAGCACAAAAGCCAGAACTAAACACCTTGAGCCTGACGGCACTGTTATACTTGATGCCACAATCATGTGGCACTCCCCAAGTAAGTCTGCAACGTCTACCCGTGATCACAGGCATACCACAACCAGTGCGTCCGCGCAGAAAGGAAAGACAACTGCCAAGTAAGTCGAACCACGGAGGAAGAAAAATATCCCCCATGGTCGAACTGGATACATGGGCCTATGCTTTTAATACCAAAGACCAAGTGAGGATACTGTTGAGAACAATTTGACTGTCAACATGTTCGCGTTTCTGAAAAACGATTGAATCATAATATTTGTTTGGATTGGCCCCTGTTTAATGAAACCCTTGAACATGGATTATACTGTTATGCCACAGACGTAAATCACACAGGAATCTCTAGCTACAATTGGATAGTCATAATAAAGTGAAAGCCTTTTTATATTACTGCCCATTGATTCACTTTCAAAGGTCTAAAAAAATATGACAACCAGAAATTCTGAATAAACTTCTAAATTTGATACTTTTCCAACTTTGCAATGTGAACCAGTGCATATAGGGCCTACTTGCATTCCAAATTTTGAATTTTTAAAAAGTTACAAGCATAAATCTCTTAAATTTGATATAACCGTATAAAGTGAAAGCCATGTCATAACAAAATCCCGGATGGATTTTAATTTGAATTATTAGACATTAAAATCTAGAGTAATAATTTTCGCAAATGTACATAAACATGTACTGTACATGTACCTTTTTCAATATTGACTATAAATTATATCTTTGTCAAGGCCATGAAATATTTATTACGGTCTCGGTCGATTCGATTTTAATATCATTTGTTTCCTCTATCAAACATGCTATCAACTTAAGGTGTCAGTGATATGAGTTCAGAAGGTGACCCATCACGGCAGTATTTACCATAGATAAGCAAAACAGACATCTTTTTCTTTAAAAAGTTATTGAAAAAAACAACAACACTGGTTTGATAATCATTGGTTGCGCTCTCAGAGGTCAAGTGCTGGGTACTCGAAGCTATGTTACTTTGGTTACGATATATCCGTGTCAGTGGCGATGTAAAGTGACCTATTCGACCTCAACGATAGTTTTTGTATCAGTTGGAACACGTACAAAGTGTTCCCATGACAAGTAACTAACTGCATTTGTTAGCCTCGTATAGAATTTCTTGAGCTGTAAAGAGTGTTGTATTCTTTTGGGTCAAGCTAGCCGGAGTCGGCGGGAGGGGCGTAACAGTGTTATGAAGGGGGATGCATGTACAGTACATATGTGTACTAACAAGCGAGGGGGGGGGCATCTGCCAACACGGTTTCACAGTCTCGTCACATTCATTTGGTTGTCAGTACCAAACCGATTCTCTATTAAAGTCGCATATACGGCATTAGCTAACAGAAACATCAGCCTAACTCGTTGAAAAATGTGGTTGAGAACGGATTCCAGGTGCGGTTCTACGGGAGGCTAGGGAGGCCTTAGCCCCCCACCAAACTTTTGTCAAGCCCCCCCCCACCAACAAAACTGCAAAATTGCAAACATGAAAGGCTGGAAAAATATTGGATTCGCAATTCTGCATTTAATAGTCCATAGCGAAAGTAAAAATGTGACGTCACGTGCGAAGGGTCTGGGCCCGGCCTGGCCACCACACACAAAACATGGCTCGAGATTCGCGTCTGCCAAGTGACGGTACGGATTCGTGGAATAACTTGATTGACGAATTCTGTGTGACACTGAATAGTACCGTGCACAACTTTTCAAGGATTTTCACGCGCTAACCATCATAGTCTCTCGTTGAGTTTACAAGAAAACCGTTGATTAAAAAGCCGAGCTTGAAAGAACTATCGATCGACCGTTCGTGTAAAACCGTTTAAATTGATTGGCGCATTTGTCGTTGGATAGGACTTGCTACAGTCTACGCAGACGTCAATCGTTTAAACACATGTACTCATTCAGTATACTTTGCTTAGCCAGACTACACAAAAGAGCACTGAAATGGACAACAGTAAAGGTCATTGTACGTTGTTCGCTTGCATCTCCACTGTCATATCCCGAAGTATGAGGAAATTTAATCCAGCTTTTTCCTCGTCAGGTCAAAGGTCGAGGTGTGGGAACCCCTGCGTGGTTGGGAGGATGACGTTAATGCTGGACAAGATATTGAAACCATTGGTAAGAGTGGTGCTGGATTATCCACGAGAATTCAGACGACCGATGAAAACAATTTAGGGCCGACGAAACCACAGTGCGTCATAAAGCGCACACAACTGGTTTGGAAAGCTTTGATCTCTTTCTTTAAATTCTCGACATCGGAAGAGCTTCTAACCTGCTGGTAGTGCAGGACAGCAGAACATCAATATTAAATGCGAAGCTCTAGGAAAGACCAGACCAGCGCCAAGAAATTGGCGCCGACACCTTTGAAAAGTCACCCCGGTTGCTTTCTGGATCTGTCCATAAAACACGGTAACCCGGGTTAGAGCTTCAGTTTCTCCAGTGAAAGCGCAGTGTGACTGCCAACTGAACCTTAAGATGCCTCCTCGCCGTTATGGCAAGCATGGTTTGAGCACATACGTTGCCATTAATGGAGTACTCCATGCTATATACACTCAGCTGTTTACCGTTTTCAAAGGGTTTGCTTAATCAATAAATCTGCATCATATAATATTCATTGATTTTTTTCACGTTTTAAATTGAATTTATCTTCTTTTTTTCAGATATTGACTCGTGGTCGAAGAAAAACAAGAGGAAGAAAGGTACATGTTGCATGATTTTTTTTCCCCTCGGATTAGTTATAAATGCAGTCGTCGATGTTTTCACCAGACTTGATAGTCTGCGAAAAGCGCCATTTTACTTATTAAGTTATTTCGTCTATTGTTTTTCTGAAAACGAATGACGTCTTCCTTTCCGTTCCCGAGCTGCACGACTATTCGGATATGTCGCATTCTTAATAGTTTCCATGTAGGCCTATGTAATTTCCTTTTGATTGAACATAAATCGAGCACTAAAATTGTATGTGTTGATTATTCAAACTGAAACGATATTTTCTTCAATTTGAAACCTCAAGACTCTCCACGAAAGTTTTACTCCCAGCGTGTCCGATTAAGGAATCGGCCCCCAATCAAAACCCACGATATGTACCCCACAAGAAAAATTAATTGCGGGCCCACTCTTAGTTAATACATTTATTGTTTGAATATTTAAGCGTAACTGTGCAAAGAAATATGAATCTCGCGTCACCATCCAAGGACTTGGTCCTGTCTACAATCATGTTTGCAGTGGCCCTTCAAAAGAAAAACTCCCCCACGTATTGTTTACTGAACCAACTCGACTGTGGTAATTAGTGTACACTTTACACCGCACGACGCGGTTAAAACCAACGGGCAGAAAATTAATGCGAACCGTCGACACGACAAAGACACCGAAGCCCGAGCAGAAAATGATAAATTGTCCGGCCGATTGACTCGAACTTTGCTCCCTCCGCTTGCTTGTCGTTAGGATGAAAATGATAATGGCATGCGTCGCGTTCCATCAGTGAGCTGCCGATTTTTTTATTTTTTTGTCAAATGTAGTTTTGTTGATTTCGTTGGTGTGAGGTTTTGGATGGCGATCAAAAAGGCGGCAAAGGCGTCACAAGTCCGCCCTATTATATAGCCAAAAGAGGGCGCCACGAACAGTATTTTAAACTTTGAAGAGCTAGGCCGTCGTGGTTTCTTTTCCGGGGCCTGATTACTTGACACAACGCCATTTCAATGAAATGGTTCATATTCTGCGCGAAGTGCAAAAGGAATGAAAATCAAATGAATGAATGCTTTTCCGATTTGAAAAAGGCAACCATGTGTTTTTCTGGTATTTCAGATGCCGCAAAAGTTGCCACAGAGGGCATGGAAGTTTACCTCTGTTGGGCCAGCAATCACTGCTCTGAAATCACCGATTATGAGGAATTTGTCAACGCCAGTCTCACAGCTGATCTTAAACCGGCCGAAAATGCGCCCTCTGAGGAGCTCAGCCCTGCTGTCAAACAGCCCAAGTCCAAATCAAAACCCACGGTGCCGAATAAAATTAAAAGCACCCCGAAAAACAAAGGGGTCTGGAAAGAGGGGACCCGAGGGTCGACTGAACCCAAGAGTTCTGGAGATGACAGTAGGACGTACGATGCGGAAAGCGAGGCTAGCGGGAGTTCAATGGTCGGGCGTCCAATTTCGACAGCGTACACAGCCTCTGAGAACTCGGTCTGCGGTAGCAACGAAGGCCCAGTGATTGATGGAGACGGCAACGGCAACATGGAGGCAGTGGGTGGTTCTGCTCGCCAGGTTGGTGTCACGCGGAGTGCACCGGTTTCAAGAGTGCAAGACAAGAGTGAGCAAAAAAGTAGGAAGATAGCTTCCGCTAAGTCCACCGACGACACCGCCAAGCGGTCCACGCAGATGCGCCGCGTGGCCATACGGAATTCTGCCGCCAAGTCGTCCCTGGATATGAAGCGCCTAACGCTGGACATGCCGCCCTCACCTCCCAACGCTAGGTTGTCCAACCCGAGTTCTCCCCGACGAGATGAACCGAATAACAACCCCGGCCAGGCTCGGTCAGAAGTCGACAAAGCCGCGGTCCTCAGACTTCTCGAGGAAAGACTAAAACGGAGCAACGCCTCAAACAGGCTCAACTTTGACCTACCTAACTCTGGGTCCATGAGCGTGGGAGACCTCTTGTCCAGCAGCCCGAGGATTGTTCACCGCGTTGGCCCCGCGGGCGACAACGAGCGAGACCCGAACGTCTACGCAGCGCTTACAGGTGACATCACCCTCACCGACCAAAAAGACACCATTTCCCCTTGGTCCCAGGCCGACAGTGCAATAGGATCTTCTGAAAACCCTCATAGACCAGCAGGGATGATCCCGAATGGAGCAAGAACTAAAGAAGCCTCGAAGTCCATTCTGCCGTCTGTCTCAACAGGTACGTCGGTAATATCAGCAGCTCCTCCCTTAGACAGTACATCTACGGGAGATAGCGTCATGATGAGACAGGAGTCGCCGGCAGTGAGTGGTGATGGGCTGAGTACAGTCAGCGCCGCCGCAGCAGACGATGCAAGATTACTGAAGGTTGGTATTTCACTCAGTCTTACCATTGCGGTCCTTCGTCGTAAAGATGTAATTGACGTTATAGCGACCAGTTTGGGCTGAATTAGCTGTCTCAATAAACCCACCCAGACGACGAATAACTTACGGTCGTGTCAGCTAAAAAGTCCCCTTGTTAATCTCTACTTCGTTACCAAAATGCTTCTGGAATTAAGCGTTATTTGTTGTTCAACCAGCGTAATCTCTTCTTTGCAAGAGTTTGTCTCCGATTATCATTATGTTGTTACTTTCCATTTTGCATTAAACGTGACCATCAGCATCAGCAACGAATTTTAGACCTGGTTAAGAGAACCGCAACCCTGTGGGACCACGATGCCGGCGTAATTCCATGGAAGGTTAGGGTGTTCCGGTGGCGTTTGCAAACTCAATCACCCTTCACCTTGCACCCAATTCTGTTTCTATCTGAATTTCTTGGTGATGCTTTTTTATTGAAAATACAGATCTGACCTTTATAAGCTAAACGGATCAGTCTGGTCCCAAGACGAGACGATGGAAGATATACTAAAACACTGTGGCGCGGTTCGAACGTTCTTCTTGAGGGCTTTTTGTTTGATTTCTAGGGCTGCTTCACTCTATCGCAACGCCGAACACTTTGGCACCTGTCAAAGCACTGCTTCTGTCTTTTCCACTCCAAAAAATCACGGCACCTTCGTTTCCCATATGAACCTGACCCGATGCGTGACGAAGAGACACACGAATCGCTTTCCACTCTTCGTTGATTTTTTTTCAGTATTGTGCACAAATTAAGTGTTAATCAATTACGGCTACCATAGAACAAAGTGAGTTTTGACCGTCACTTCCGAGGGAAACATTTGCATTTTCTTTTATTGCAGCCAAAAAAGTTGGTTAAATTACTTCTTCAAATCTGATCTTCCAACCTCTTAATTAGGTAACGATTGCACCTAAGCTCTTCACACATTCTTTTAATTTGTGAAATGGTGTAATCGTCAGAAAAACAGCGAGTGCATTCCAACTAATGTGTCACAGTTTGGCCAGCATGGCCCATAAACGTGCGCTTTCTAATAGCTTCTTTTATACCAACTTGCTAACCGGATTTCAGAAACCCCTCCGCTGTGCAATAACGAGGTGTGATCGCGACGTGGCCGAGCTCCCTAGGGCTAATATACCACAGGTAGTATAAATCTCCATTCTGGGCCTTGGTGTGCTGTTACTAACCTTTTTACTAACCAATCTTAGAATTTGCATGCAAGTGACCTTTTGCTTACCGAGTTGATCGGCAATACTCTGCCTTCTGAAGGACGTGAACATTACTGGATTCATGCCAGGTTACTTTGGGGTAGGGAGCGCCCTCTGTGTCGGAACCACAGCGAAGAATCCATACACAGTCGCTTGAACATGTTGCATTCCATCTTGTGATTTCCCGATCTGTATCATCATTGCCAAAGGAGATCCTTTAGATCCAGATTTTAACCCAAAGTTGTTAACTTTACCACTAATAAATCCCATGCTTACCCCAAGACGGAAAAGCGTACCAAAGGACGCGCTGACCATGGCGAGCAACGACTAACACGGACCAAGGTAGGATCATTACAGGTGACGGATTACATGGAGGTGTGGCGTCAATTCAATCTAACTGCGTGATCAAACTTACGAGCTATAACTAACTCCGAAAACTTTTTAAATCCCGGCTTTGTTTGAATTCCTGCCAAGTTGTTCTTTGTGGCGTTGCCATACCCTAACCTTTGCTTAATTATTGTTATGTGTTTTCGATCTCGGAAGGAGTTTCATGCTAGAAAGATCTACTTTCACACGACCACCTTTCCTCTAAAAACGCTTTGCTCCAGTGTTTCAGTGACTCGGCTATACACAATAGTAATTGCAGTGTATTCAGTATAGTGGACTTTCTTGTAGTGTACATGTAGTTATCTTCACAATTCACACCTAAACTTCTTCAGGCACAGTGTACAAAGAGATAGACCTCTACAACATCATGTTACAGCACCAATGCTCTGCTTGTTCAGTCCTGAAAATCCAACTCTTGTCGAGTGCACCGTTAAATTTTGCTGGATTGTTCTGCGAAATTAATACATTGCACAATAGGTATGCGCCGAATGTTTCAATTTGCGTGGCGAGCTCGTGCATTGACTGCCGTATGAAAACTAATCCATAAAAATTAATGTTTTCTACTGACCCCGAAATAGTCAAAACGGCCGTTCGTCGAAGAATTTTTCTCTCATAACTACTCTCTGTTTTGGACGTACTTTGTCTAAAGCCACCGTCGGTGAGATCTAGGCAGATTGAGCGTATCGCGTCCGTAGTCCTAGGCAGGAAGCTTGCTGACAACTCCAAACCCGCCCTGGTGAGTCACCGCTGCTACTCGCAGACAAACCATCAGCAAGCAGATTTTACTTTCATAAAAGAGCCATCGGTTTTCCTATATCCTCTAAAAGTGTCACCTTTTCCCTGCACGTTTTTTTTCCGAGGAGTAACCTTAGGTCTTGAATTGTAGATCCTTTTTTGTCTTACCGGCGGTGGAAGCCTACTTTTGCTTGATAAAACACCTCTGGGTCATCTTTGTTTTCCATCTAAGCCTTGGTTTTCTGTACCTCAAAAAAATGTCTTTCTGCGTTTCATTATTTGTTTTCGGTAATATCCCTCTTCCTTTCTTGAAACTCCTCAGCTGATGTCTTGGTCTGTTTTTTTCTGTTTTAGCCGAAATTTAATGTTTTGGTTCATTTTGTATCTAATGTGATTCACATTCCCTGAGTATCGTCTGGCTTATGAGTTGGCAATGGAGAATGCAAGCAAAGTTAATTCCACAACTAATCGTTTAGGATGTTAATCCTTTCTGAGCAAATAAAAATTGAAATTTTTGAGTGTGTTGTATATTTATGGTGCAGAACTTCAAATATAAAATAATCTGTTTCGGCATTGCTTTCATAAGGTGGAAATCTAATCACTGAAAGACTTGATTAGTCTTGTATATTTGATAAATCAAGATTTTTAATGAGTTAATGATGCTTTTTTAGCACCGTGGGCCTCCCGGGTTCCGCCCAGCAGGCAAGACACCTTTGCAGCGGGCTGTCGAGAGCGCCCATAAGAAGATGCATGGTCAACACTACTACCTCTTTACACATACTTCCAGCTCCCAGCAGGTGAGGGATTCTTTTCAATCATTCTAATATGCCCATTAAAATAATATTTCTGTTTCAATAAGCCTCTTGGAGGGCTACTGGTAAAATTGAATGCACGTTTTTGTAAAGTGGCAATTTTCAGTACATTTTATGCAATACTCCTGTAGCAATTGTTTCTTTAATTTTCATAGAACAAGCTGCTTCATGCAGATTTTCGTCCACTTTTGGAAAAAAAAAACTGAAACGTCAAGTGGATTGAATGTGTGCGGCAAAGATTATTTTATCATGGAGAGTTATTATAGTAACTCTATTCCTAAGTTATAGGGTTGTTTGTACCAGAAGCATCAGTAACTTGGATCCCATTGTTTCAAAATTTGCACCACGCAGTCAGCTGACTTGAAGAATCTTCCAAGGTACACATCAACAGGTCAGCCCGTGTCAGGTCATCGAGAGAGGGCGTCTTCTGGGCGAAGCAATCAATCTGAGCGCAGCATCAACAATGCCTATGTTTGGAAAGAGCATTTGGAGAGCCAGATAAAGCAACAAAGAACAACGTAAGATGGACTGAACGCAGGGGAAAAAATAATAATATGATTAATTTAGCACCGGAATTTAATGGGATTTGGCACAACAAAAGTTTGAGAAACTTGAAATAATGACGAAACTGTTATTTCGAGTTTTATTACCTTTTGATCAGTGCGTTTGAAATAAGTTTTTTTCTGCGACAAATCACTGGTAACAATGGTTGCACTTTCCCGGGATATAATCGGTATAATGAATATTGAAGTTCAAGCATATTCTAATGATATACGATCCTGAACTTGTTCAGCCCAGGGCTTATCCAAGTTGTCCCTGATGCCGTCGAAATTAACAGCGCAACTGATCTTGATGTTGTCTCACAAAGATTTACATACACTGCTAGTGGAGATGCATGAGACAATTTGCACAATATCAAGACATCACGAAATCAAGCTTTGTGGTGACATTTATTGTGTCGATTCTTTTGACACAAATCTTGAATTAATTCAGTCAGTGTACGGTGTTAGTACGGTTCCCTTCCCTCTATCCTGCACGTAGACCTGCGCTGTCCGGTTCGAACACTGGAGGGAATAGCCACCAACAAACTAACCCTTGCACCAACCAATCATCGCCAGCCACGTCAGTACCTCTAACACTCATGCCGTCACGTGAGTTGAGTGATTAAACCGAATGTGCGATTGAACGTGTGAAGTGTTTTAATTTAGGGCATTTCTCAGACTTCGACGTAGGCTTTTGTATTGCCGAAATCGATTTTGGATTCATGCCGAAGTCCAGTTTTGAGAAGTGGCCTGCCCTCCACTGATGTGATGTGAAGATATTAGGCTTTGCTGTGTAATTTTTGTACAAATTGCTGTGTGTGGTTGCAAATCTCATCTCATCCTTGTACTTTTTCACTTATTTGTTCAAGGTTTCCCATGTGCCGAGTTCATTAAACTGTTTCCGCACATTCTCATTGCCCACCTTTTCACATCAAATTTAAAAGAAACGCGTTAGGTGTACATATATTATATTCAGTTTGCCTATTTGTTGAAATGTGTCTGATGTCTTTAGCATAATTATTCTGCTTACTTATAAACGTAGCTTTTTGGGAAAAAAAATGATTGAGGAAAATACCAGGAATCGGAATTAGTTACATGCCTTGCTGCCACTCTAGTTCTCATTGGTGTCTTTCCAATAAATTCTCTGCCTAACTCACGGTATCCCGTTTTCTCAATGGATTAAGTAGCATTATACCACCATTGCAATGCTTTCTTCTAGAACTGTTTATTTAGGCCGTTTTCCAATACTCAGCTTCGTCTGCGTCTCAGGCTTCGTTCTCAAAACCAATCCCCGATTGTGGGCCTGAAGCGTTTAAATTATATTGGATTACTGTAATCTTTGGCTTTCTTGCATCTTATTTGATGTTGTGTGGCACTATTAGACTGATTACTGCGCTTACAGCTTCAAAGTCAGCTAGTGAAAAACAGTTTTCAAGCCTGAGACGGAGGCGAAGTTGAGTATTGGAAAACGGCCTTGGAGTAGTTCTAGCTTCCGATTTTGGAAACAAAATGGCTGTCCATTATATCTGTAGTGGAGCGTGCGGCTATTGTATCCGGTTCGTAAGTGTGACATCACTTCAGTTTAAACCACGCCCACTGCAAACGTGTACTGCACATAGGGTTACTACATGCATTGATCGCCGTTTACATGGAACCATGTAACCGGAAGTTAACGCGCAACTTCAGCGATTGTCCAACGAGAGCCTGCAAATGGTAGCGCGTCCGCCTTTCTGACGAAGTCACTTACGAACCGGATAGCAACTGTCCGTGTGTACTAACGCAGTTTGTTTCCAATAATGGTAACACGTCACAACACTAAATGTATGTATGGCTCTGCTTTCCTCCACACTCCTGTTACCTCACGTCATCTGCCTGCGAGATCTCTCAGCCTGACTCTCCCATCATCTTTTTTCCCTCAAGCAGTGAGCCACTTGCGAGTTAAAATTAAATAAAATTTGGAACCTTGTGTTATCTGATTGCACAGAAACGTAACAATTTGAATTCCCCAGACTAAAGACGCTGCTGCTATACCTCGTACATATGCAGCAAGGTATGAGACGGAGAGAACCCCCCCCCCCCC